GGCCAGGCTGGCAGCTCTCCTGCCCTAGATGGCCACTTTCCTGTGCCTAGTGCAGAGGTCGTGGACGAGGTCCATGATGTCCACACTAGCCCAGGAAGGTGCCCGCCTCTTGCGGTCCAGGGCAAGCTCCCGGGAGCCGCCAGCCTGGTCCCGGCAAGAGGGGGTGGGCTTGGGGGGCATCAGGTGGGTGGCTCGATCCGTGCCAGGTGCAGGGTCTGCTGGCTGGGTGCTGGCAGGCTTGCACCTGGCACGGGCACCGTAGCCAGCCCGTGCCCCTTTAAGGGGTCCGGGGCCGGGAGGGGGGCAGATGAGTTTCCCTGGTGTTGGCCAGAGTGGCCACCAGGGAAACCTGGGGAGGGCTAGCCTCCCACTAGTTCGAATTAAGGGTCTACGCAGCCCTTAATTCAAACTAGCAAGTTCGAACTAGGCTCAATCCTCGTGGAATGAGGATTACCTAGTTCGAACTAAGTGCTCCGTTAGTTCGAATTAAATTCAAACTAACGGAGCGCTAGTGTAGCGCCTATGAAAGTTAGCTCGAACTAACGTCCGTTAGTTCGAACTAACTTTGTAGTGTAGACATACCCTATGAGATTTAAGAACTTTCATCAGAACAGTTTGCTCTAGTTTTCTAAACAAGGGAAATATTTCTAACTACAGTATGATTTTTCTGGTAGCTAATGATTATTTCATCAACTGGCATTATTGTACACTGTCAGATTAGAAAAACTGCTTTTTACCTGTCCATCCGTATCATATAAGGAAGGTGTAAAAAGCAAAATAGTCTAAGCCAAAGGCGTTCTGAGAAATGAAATCTTTTCATTCATTGGGTGGCATTTAAGACTTAAGCAGAGAAGAAAGGTTGTTCCCAACACAAACATGTGAAAAGACCTTTAAAAATTAATCAAACCATCCCTTTTATAGTAAGTTTTCTTTACTGGAGGACACATGAAAAAGAGAATGTTATGATTAAAACAGTTTTCACTTTTAATTTGCTGTATTCCAGTTGGTTCTAAGAGAATTTGTGTCTTCATGAAAGGATTAAGGCCCTGATCCATCATCCGTCAAATAGCAATGATAGAACTCCCACCAACTTAAGTGGCTTTTAGATAAGGCTCTGTGGCAGAATCCTTGTGCTCTGAGCTGCATAAGTGGAAGGTCTATCATACAGTGAGCCAGCTAGCAATGTGGCTACTGACATCTCTCTCCCAGGGAATGACTGACTCAGAGAGGGGAAAATGCTTCCTGGTGCCATAGGGCCTCACTTAGGGCCCATTTTGGCTCAGTGTCTACATAACATAGTAGAGTTTCCCTGGTGTAACTGAGAGCAGACAGTCTCTCTAACTACTTTAAAGGGCCTCATGTTCTACATATTTGTGAGTTAGCACACCTGGACAGAGTCCATGCAATGGTGAGACAGGTGTGAACTCAGTAAACAGCAGAACATCCAACAGTTTCGCTTTCTCTCTGTCAGGGCTGTTCCCCACTCTGGCACTCCGAGTGCAGAAGATGAGGGCCCACAAAGAGCTCAAAAAACCATAACAATGCTTAGATGGTAAAAGGGGAGGGGAGGCACTGAGCATTTCAAACCAATCCACAACAATTACCCTGAACGCGACTAGATTCGCTTTTCCCCTTATTTACTTCCAATTTTCTATTTGTTCAGTCCACTCCCGTGCCCCAAATTCCTTGAAGGAATGGTATTCCTGCCTAGGTTTAAATCCTTCTGTGTCTCTCAACTCCTGGTTTTTCTTTCCCACACAAAGAAAGCAGGCAAGGAATCTACATTCAATTCCAATTTCAACCTTCTACCTCAATTGGTTCTCTCGGCCCTCTCCAACACCATTGCTAGGTACCTGAGTTTAACCCCCTGGTCACTGGGTGCTAGTTAGCACTCTCCAAAGCAGGAACTTCCACTCAGGTTTCCTTGCCATCTGGAAGGAGACACATGCCTAGGGTATGCCGGTGCGCTCACTCATTTAGCCAACCACTCATGCATAAACTACATTGATGGAAAAACCTCTTTCATCACTGTAGGAAGCACCTTCACCATGATGCAACTGTGGCACAGCTGCTGCAGCATAGCTGGGGACTGGTGGCAGCTGTAGTGTAGACCTATTCTAAATAATGTGTCTATTTCAGGCAAGAAGCCTGTGATGAAGCTGAACCTGGATTTCTTTAGTCTCTGGGGCTTGTGTCCTTGCTACTGGGCCATCCAGGCTCCCTTAGCCCATAAGTTCCAGTTACTGTTCTTCCTTTGAGCCATGTTATGATGTGACATGAGAGTTAGCAATGGGCTTGTGGTTAAGGCATTAGATTAATATTCGAGAGATCTATATTCAATTTATTTGTCTGCCACAGACTTCCTGTATTACCTTGGGCAACTCATTTAATCTCCTTGTGCCCAAGTTCCTCATCTGTAAAACACAGATACTGATAATCGCTTTGGTGTGGTTCAGATTATGATGGTTGAGGTCACAGAAGAGCCCTCGGGGTTGCCTCCTGGAGTGCTGACACAGTCACCGCCACTTGCCTTCCTGCTCTCTGGAGCTTCTCACCGCCCGGTCCTGCTGGCCTAGCTCCACTGATCTCTCCCAGATCCAAGGTGAGTGCAGTTTAGGGCCCAGCTTCCTGGGATACCACTTCCCAATTGGGACCAACCCCTAAAGAATTAGGTAAGACAGCTTTAACAATGAAAAGGGGAATGTGCACACTGATTGCTCCCCAAATTAATAATTATTTACACTGAGTTTGATAGACAATAAAAGCGATTTTATTTAGTACAAGCAGTAGGATTTAAGTGGTAATAAGTGAGATCAGGCCGAGCGAAGAAGGTTACAAATCAAAAGAACCAAACCACTTGGCTAATACTACACTACAACCTTAGTACAAACTTTTCAAACTCACCCTAAAACCTCTTTTCTGGTTCCCCCTCCAAACCAGGGCTGTCTCTCCTCCCACTCCCTCGGGGTCTTCAGGTGCAGTCCAGCCAAAAGACCAAGGCCTCCGTTTTCCTATTCTTTTTCAAAGAATTGAGGCCACTCCCTACCAAGCACTGCTCAGACTTAAGGACAAAAGAGATTGTTTAACAGTTGCTCATCAAGACAATGACGCGAACACCCTCTGTGACGGATCTAGTTCTGGGCGCGAGCACGCAACCCCTTTCTCGGGGTCACGGCCCAGCGAGCCCACTGTCGGGTTCTTACGGTTTAAGGATTTCGATGGGCATGAGCTCCCGATGCTCTCCCTCCCCTCCCCCCGGGTGCTTCAGTCCTTCCCCGCGGTTCTTGGGGGTGGCGGTGCCTTCTGTCTCCCTCTTGCTCCCTTCTCCCCCACGTTGGGTGCAGCCTGGAGGAATCTAGGGGACTAGGGAGACCTGGGCCCACCCTCTCCATCGGGTCCCAGCCCGGGGCTCTAAGGGTTTGGGTTCTGACCCTTACCCGGCTGACGGAGTCCCACCCCGTAACATGTCAGCCCATGGGCGCCAAAAGGACCCTGCCCCTGGCTGCTTCCTAGCCACCCTGGAGTCCGCAGTTTTTGGGCCCGAGCCGATGATCCTTACCTCTTCGCCGGGGTGATGCAGGATTCTGCTCCGCAGCTTCCCCAGTGTCCCGTCTCCCCGTCTCTACCAGGGACAGAGGACTTGCCTCCCTGGCATCCTCCCCTTTGCTCTGGCTTTGGGGCAGCTTTTGAACCTCCCACCAGACGTCACGCCGTCTCCCCCATCCCTGCTCCCGGGGTTGCCGGCATCTCTGTGTCGGGGCACAGGGGACAGAGTTGCATCCTGGCATCCTCCGTCGGGGGCGCGCACGTCCAGCCCAGCCCGCTGGCCCGCCCTATTCCCCGTGGCCGCGGGAGTGGGGCTGCGGTCCGCATGGTGTTCAGCGGGTGCGTCCTCCCAGCAGCGTGCCGGTGAGGCAGCCCCTCCCGGGGCCGGGGCCGCCACCCACCCCGTTCTAGTGTGGGCCGCTGCCGGCCCGTCACACCCTCCATACCTCTCATTCACACATTTAAAATTCACAAAGTATTCCCCACACACAAATTTTACACACAAAAATGATACCTACATCAGACTAAGAGAAACAGAACCAACAGATCATGACATGAAGATGGATGGGTTACATGAAATAATTTGCTCAAAGCACCTTTGAGTTATGTATATTCATGTCCATAAATCCATTTCATAAAGCATGGGGGACAGTTACACGGATAAATTCATCAGTCCCTGTGAGGTACTTTCCTGCTGTGAAGGTGATGACCAGTTGGACAGGTAGGTTGTTTGCACCATCTGTGTAATTTTGACAAGTCCTTTTTTCATAATGAATGTTTCAGTCCTTTTTAGACATTCATGCAATCAATGCCACCAGCTCCTGAGCAATGCCACGGAAACAGGCACAGAATAGCAATCAAAGAGGAAAAATGTCCCTAAGGATACAAGTTTGTGGTTCAAGTGTCTTAAAATTTTATTATGAGAAAGAGAATAAAAAGATTTTAAAAATACTTTGAATACCTTTATTTAGGATGAATTTGTCTCCAGCTGAGTTCCGTGAAAGTTGGACACTTCTTCCAGAGGAAAATTTAGTCTTTGGGGGATCAGAGAATAAAATATTACCAGTGGGCTGAGTCTGTGTTTGAAATCTGCCCGTTGCTGTGAGCTCTGATGGAGCCCCATTACTAGGGTTGCCAGGTGTCCGGTTTTGAACTGGACAGTCCAGTATTTGAGCTTTCTGTTTGGGAAACAAATTGAGAAAATATAAATGAGAAAATAGAAATGTCCGGTATTTTCTAAATAAGATGTAATGTAGATTGTGATGTAATGCCAGGTGTGTCCAGTCTTTTTGTTAAACCATCTGGCAACCCTACCCATTACCTGTATTTCTGACACTTGCACCACAAGGAGTAACGGTAGTTCGAACTAGAAAGCCTAATTCGAACTACCTACTCCGTGCCGCGTGTAGCCACCGGCACGGAGTCCGCACTAACGGGGATTTAAAAATGGCGGCGCCCGGCAAGATGCAAATGAAACCCGGGATATTTAACCACCCTAGTTCGAACTAGGGTGGTAGTGTTGACATACCCTAAGTTAGAGCTTGATTCTGCCACCCTTACTCCAAATGCAAAGCACTGCGCTCTTTGAGACGCCCCAAGGGTTTCAATGTGGCTGCTTCCTGAGTAAGGTATTATACACTGTTACTCAGAGTGGCGGAATTGGATCCTTTGCCAAGAGAATTTATAGGCCAGATCCTCGGCAGATGTCAATCGGGTATTGGGATAACTAGGAAGGACATGACATGGGGAGATAGTAAAACAACACAGCATCTTCCCACAAGTGGCTCTGGAGGGAAAGGTGATATTAGAAACAAAAATAAAAGAAAACAATTTAACCATAATCTACAACTGATCTATTTTAAAGACGGCTCTACCCTTCCAAGATAGGGCTCAATGAAAAGGGGGGGGTGTAAAAAGTGAAGGCGCATACCAAAAATTTCAAATGATGATGCTTTATGGCAAAATGTTTAACAAAGTCTCATGAATCCAACTTAGAGCCCAAACTGTGCTGTCTGTTGACATGCAGAGAAAATGGAAATGCTTTCAAATTGGAGGCTATTTGTTGTCAGCCCTCTACTCTGGCTCAGGCTGTTTGCTTGTTTCATTAGAGCAGGCCTTCCTTCCCAGTCAAGTAGCTGTGGTTTTGGCAGTGGCCTTTCTCCCACAGGGAGATAAGGCAGTTCCTACCATGTCATTGACCAGAGGCAGCCACAGAACATTAGGCAGGCTCCTGACTGTCGAGAAGTTGAAACTGCTTGAAAACAGCAGGGTCAGTCTGCTCTCAAACACACTGATATTATCTCATTAGTGGTGGCATTTATTGCATGGTGCGAGAAGCAGAAAAGGGAGTTGTTAAAAAAAAAAAAAGCAAACAAATAGTTACAGTATATGGTCTGGCGAGGCAGAAAGAGTGCAATTCCCGGGAGAGGGGTTTCTTTGTTAAAGATAGCAGTTGTTTCTTACATGATACACAAGCTGTGCAGCAGCAGAAGTCCTTAACCCAGCTCTGAAAAAAGGCCTCCCTGCAGCGAGGAGGAGGGAAGGGTGTTTACCTGAAATTCAGCCCATGTCCACGGACTTTTGGAAGAGCCTGGACCAAATTCTGGGTTTATAGCAAAGCACTGGTGCGGTTTTGAATTTTGTAATGGAAGGCTAGCACTGCTTTTAAGATCTCCCCCCCCCCCCCCTCACTACCTTACCCCTTCTGTTGCATCCTCCACTGAAGTCATAATCCTGTTTTACAACTTCTTTCTCTGTTGCTCTGTAAACCATTGTGATGTCATAAAATTCAGCCTTGACTTCCCTGTGGGATCAAGTAGTTTGAGAAAGGCACAGTAATATCTGTCTTACATTGAGAGCTGTGTGTATTATCTTCTGTGTTTATACAGCATCTAGCCACAGCCTGTAGCTTGACAACAAAACGACAGGTCCATGACACAGAGCTTTTGGGTGCTACCTCAGTGCAGCTAATAAATATATAATAATAATCTTGGTTAATTAACAGTAGTGAGAGAAATGAGGAGGCACACAGGAAATATAAATAGATTGGTTTTAAGCATATCTATCTATCTATCTATCTATCTATCTATCTATCTATCTATCTATCTATCTATCTATCTATCCGTTAAGGACAACCAAGACCATGTAACTAATGAAGACTTTTTAATCTAAGTATCTCAGGATGACCGTTGTTTAACACGCTTCATGTAAAAAACATTTGATACTGCATGATGGTGATTGAGATGTAATAACATAAAGGCCACTGCTGTAAAAGGACCCAGTCCTTGAAGCTGAACACTCAGATGGTTCCCAAGGATTCCAAGGGCTATTGCACATATGGAGGACTTGCTAGGTCAGCACTTTTAAATTTCTATTGGAAATGTGCAATTTAAGGATCTTTCTTAGAAGGAATCAGATTCTTTTAATCACCAGCAAAGAATTAGCAGTCATCCATTTATTACAGATGAGTCAATGATTGACAGCAAAAAAATATATTATCAAAAGAGGTTAGGTTTTATTTGTGGTCACTGAATAACCCTCGGCAGCTTGCAATTTCCTGAGATGCATTTTTTATTCGATGAATGCTTTAAAATCTGTGTATCCATTGTGAACAATTCTCTCATAAGTGTTAGGTATCTGAGCTGTTTAGTTATGTTTGGTCAGATAGGTAAGTGGTGTGGTGTCTGTCCCTGGATAGGATGGGTGTGCAAGTATTTCCAGTTCCAGGTATTTGCACACACAAATGTAATATACAATTTCCAAAAAATATTTGTGCATTCAGCGTTGAAGTTTGTGGTAGCAGAATGGATTGCATGGATATTGTAAAAAGAAAACACAAAAAGGAGTGTGAGCATAGCCAAAGTGAATTCATTAAAATTCCAAATGAGTATTGATAGAAAATATATTGCAGAACTGGCCCGTATCTAGTATTTCTAAAGTCATATAGAGCTGATAAATGCAATGCACTAGTCAGAATGAATGAAATCCAACACAGTGATATTCCCGTGATAATATTTTTTCCAGACTGTCAGTTGAATTTATTCTTTTGATGGACTTTGCAGAAGATATGCAATAACAATTCATGGCTATTTCCATCCTGTCATCATCTGCTGCTGCCATTATTAATAATAGTAATAATATTTATTATTTTGAAATTCATTTTCTGCCAAAATATATGTCAGCAATTTGTATATTACCACATTCGTGCATGGTGCTTTATGGGTATAAAAGAAGATTTTTTTCTCTCTCCCAAACTGCTGACAATATTCATTTAAAATAAACAAATATTGTAAGTAAACAAATAAAGGGATTGGTGCCAGCTAGACAAGTAAAGAGAGAGAAGTATCGGACAGGGTTTCATATTATAATTTTACATTTCAATGAAGAAGTCGGATGGCACTCACGGTATGTCTAGACTACATAGCTCTGTCGCCAGAGCCATGTAGATTAGTTTACTAGACATACCCAAATGAAGCGCGATTTAAATAATCGCCGCTTCATTTAAATTAAAATGGCTGCCGTGCTGAGCCGATCAGCTCAGCGGGCTAGTCTGGACGCTCCGCGGTCGACATCAAAGGCATTTGTCGACCACCCCATTATGCCTCATGGGATGAGGTTTACCGGGGCGGTCAACAAATGCCTTTGATGTTGACCGCGGAGCGTCTAGACTAGCACGCTGAGCCGACAAACAGCTGATCAGCTCAGCGGGGCAGCCATTTTACTTTAAATGAAGCGGCGATTATTTAAATCACTACTTCATTTGGATATGTCTAGTAAACCAATCTACATGGTTCTGGTGACAGAGCCATGTAGTTTAGACATACCCCAAGTATCTACTTCTTCCTCAAGGTGTATACTTACTCAGAGTCTGCAAGTAAAAGAGGCATCCTTCCAATTTCTGCCTCAGAACTAGAGTACAGTTTGATAAACCTTGATAAAATCCATAGCATGCTTTATCATTTTGCCATGTTTTACAGTGTTTGGGGGGGGCGTGTGTTAGGAAGAATGGTAAATGTACACATTACATACGACAAATTAAAAAGTCATCATACTTTCACATCACACCTCTGTAAAAGTATTTTACAGCAGCTCTCCGTGTTAGCTATCACGTAAGTACTTTCAACACAAATATGGAAATTCATTGGTCTTCTGTGAAAGTGTGTGCCCATAAAATGTTCCTTGGAAGTGAGAACAAAACAGGCACAAACATGATCAGAGCAAATTCATTGAGCATTTTGGTAGATATTTGCTCAGATGTAACATTTATTCAACAAGTGAAGAATCCACTGTGAGATTCACATTGAGGAGAAGATTGGCAGAGGATGTGAAAGAAGGAAGGAATCTAGTTTGGGGGGCTTGGCTTATAGTATTCTGGCTTTCAGTGCAACCAGTCCACCCTGGACATAAGGTTAGGAAAAGAAAAAACCTATCTCTGGAGGTATTTAAGAGCGGGTTAGTTAACATCTATCAGGGATGGTCTAGATCAGCCATGGTATGAGTACCCTCAGGGATACTCGAGAGAAGTCTGGGGAGTACATCAAACAACTAAAATTTGGAGAAAACTGAATTTTTGTTTTAAGATTTACAGCGCTTTATTATTTTTGTACTTTTTACACCCAAAAATGTCATTGCCCGCCTGGCAACTTATGATTAAGTTGTTTAAACAAATGTGTTGCAATGGTAAAAAAAATGGTGTGTCTGAAAACTGTAGGTGCTGGGGTACTTATAATTTTTGTAAGGGGTACTTTATAAAAAAAGGTTGAGAAACACTGATCTAGATGGTACTGGATCCTGCCATTAGGGCAGGGGACTGGACTCAATGACCTCTCAAGGTTCCTTCCAGTTCTAGTGTTCTATGATTCTGTGATTAAAAGGTTGTGTTCATCTACCAACAACTGCTGGAAAAAGAGTCATTCTGTTTCTTCTCCCCCTCTTCTACTCCACCCAAGGACTATATCTATATTAAGGTAGTATTTTATGACAAGTGATTTTGGGTGCCTCAGTTTTTGGAAACCCAAGTTGTCACATTAAAAGGACCTTATATTCAGAGAGTGGGTGCTCAATACTTTCTGAAGATTAGACTTCTTTAAAGGCATTCTAAGTGAAGAACCCAAAAACAGAGGCACCAAAACTCACAAATCACTGTTGGAAATATTGGCCTGTATTAGTGCTACTCCATTTGATCTACTCTGAAAGAGAAACATGTCTCTAATCAGAGTTTCATGTGATATCAAGAATGAAGCTTCACTGTTGTGCATCACCTATCCTGAAGAATGAACAATATTAAAACAGACTGGGGGATTTCATGCAGCTCTATTCAAGGGTCTACTGCCTACAACAGCTAATTGAATTTCCATGGGACACAGTCAGAAATGAAATGATGCAATATGTTTGAACTAAGTTCCAGAGCTATCTACAGCTCTCATAGATTTCCCTTTCCTACATTTGAGGGTATGGTTATCACTCAGGCCTTATTACTAGGCAGTACTGTAAATCACAGAGAGGGAAGATTTTGTTATCTAGGTGTTAGGAGAAAGACATTCAGGAACGGTGAAGGATGTAGTAATTGAAGAAATGCTATATATTATTGGGGAAATAAAAGATAGTTCTCTGTGCAGAATGTTTACCCTTTGAATCTTGTCAATAAGTAAGTACCTATGGAATATAAATTATAGGATGTTATTCTGGCATTCAACATAAGAAAGATAAGATATATAACATTGTGTGTCATTAGAAGAATAATGTTTCAGAGCAGGAAAAGATAGCTCAAAGAGTAACTAAAAAAACTTTTAATAGAGAGCTGGGGCATGAATTATCAAAAATGATTAGCTAGATTAGGCAGTTTAAAACATAAAAGAGGCTCCCCAGAAATACATTGAAGACAATCCTGAAATGAAAGGAACTAAATGAGTGAATTCAATTCATCTTTCTGAGACAGTCACTAACTCAAAAAGCCTGGATGGAGAATGGCAAGGGGATGAGTCAGAGCTGATAAGCAGTTCCAGCTTATTTATTTAGTGTTGTTGAAATGTAGAACAAATAGCACCAAGCCATCAGTTTGGAAAGGAGCTAGTTTGTTTTGTTTTTGAAGGATTTTTGAGATTACAGCACTAGCTGCATATTTGAGGTTAGAATGATGCATTCTAGAGTGATTTGTATTTATTGGGGTTATGAGGGCAGGTCTTAGTGGACCATATGGTATTTTTATAAAGCTGATTCCATGACTAAAATAGCACAAGATTTCATTAACTTTTCACAGATTGATAGAGAAAAAACTGCTTAAATAGACATTTCTGTTCATTTGATAGAAGTGGGGATAGGACTTCTTAGAAGGGATATATGAATTCGTTTTGCTTTATTTTGAACTCACTTTAAGCACCATGGCTTTAAAGGTTTCACTCATGTGTTTAAGTTTACATTTAGGGAAGAAGGGGCAGCGAAAAGAACACAATTAAGAGGGTGAAAAATAGAGAAGAATGAGGATAAAATTAAAAATCAGAGAGACAAAGTAGGGGGAGGATGGAAGCACAAAGAAGGAATGAAAAATTGTAATGGCCAATTAAATACAGTGTCCTCTGTAGCTCATGAGGGGAGTGGATGGGGAAGGTTCAGGTGTAGCATTTAACCATCTAAAGGGCAGACTGGGCCATATAATAAACTAAAAGTGCTCTTTTTCCTCTCTACAATTCATCTCTGTGTATACTGTAGGTCTAATCAACATATATTTGAATACAAATCAGAAGTTAGGAATTGTAGAAAATGAAACTAAGGGACACAAAGAGCATTCTATGGCTAGCAGAGCTAAGGACAATAAGAAGGAACTGTGTAAATATTTTAAGAACAAAAAGAA